CTCCGGAGAAGATGTCCGAACAAATGGACTTATTACAACGTTCATACAGTATCTCCGGAGAAGATGTCCGAACAAATGGAATCAATCAAACGTTCATACAGTATCTCCGGAGAAGATGTCCGAACAAATGGACTTATTAAAACGTTCATACAGTATCTCCGGAGATCAAACAGAAGATCAGTGAGCCAATCTGTTTGTGTTCAACCGCTGAACTCCAGGGCCGGCGCGGCCGGCGCGCGCGCTGGGCGCCGCACCTGGCTGCGCAGTCTTTGAGGCCCAGCTCCGCAGGGATGCTATCGCCCAAGGCCCAGAGCAACCTCCAAATGTGGAGGAACACCGAGGAGGAAAGGGAAGGCTTAATATAAAGGGATAAAGTAAGGATATCTTATTAAACAAAGACAACGCATGTGAACACCCGAATTAGAGAGAAACGACCTAAGTCTTGGACTATGTGCTTTTTCTCCAAGATCGATCTGCTCCGTGGAACCTGAAGTACCTCGAACCCCAAAAACCGTTTGAGAAACACCACGAACCGTCGGACTAGTGTCGTTCGATCCCTCTTCGGGTCCGGGTCCTGGTCCGACCAGCAACTGCCAGGGTCGTGTCGACTTCAAGGTCTCCAGACAAGGCGGAAGTGCAAACGGTAGTTGCTTCGGTCCACCCTTCGTCTTGGGTCCTTTCTCGTCCTTTCGTTTCGCCTTAACGGGGGATTTTCACCAACGCGTCGACAGAGTCTGGTCGATCGGAGAGCTTCGACCACCCAAGGTTCGGGTGGGTCTAGGGTGGTTGTGTAGGTTTTGAGTGAAGAAGTTATGATCTGGCCACGAGTTTGTTGCATGTGGCCAGGCCACGAAAGGGCGAATGGGATCCTTGACCCCCTTTGACCCTTTGATCCTATATTCTATTTGATCCTTTGGCCGCTAACGGAAGCCCTTCCACAAAAAAACACACGCACACACACCGACGCTTTTGCACAGATCCAACAAGTAATACCTGGCACTGGATGAATACCACGGATGACAGTTGAAGCACAAGAACATGGAACATCATGGAACACACTCTGAGAGTGTGGTAGAATTGGTCATGTATTGAACTCCAGGATACTACATAATACATTCACTTCCAGCGCAGCTTCGCATTCCTGTGGTCCTCAAGTCGCCTGTGACACACCTGCTCCGGAGCCAAGGTCAACAAGACCCGCCGCTTCGGCCCCGCCAGTTCATCCTGGAGTGGAGATGACTGTCCGACCAAAGATCCGTCACCAGTGGCAACGGTGGAGTGGTGAGACCAGCTGGTCGGACCTGGTCCAGCTGGTCCGACCTGCTGCCTTCGGCTAGCAGATTCACAAGGACCTAACAACCCGGCTCACCGGAAATGGCTTGAGTGCCGAGTGCCCTCTTCAGCTGGTCAAGTGGTCAAGGCGGTGTTGGAATCACTGGACCAGCAATTCGAACACATGTCCAAAAGCATGTCCAACGTGGTGTTTGCCGGACCCAGGCGAGACCGTAAGAGAATCGACTGGAAATACTTTTTAAAAAAATGAAAAAGCAAAAGCAAATCCAAAAAGCAAATCAAAGCCAATGAACAAGCAAGACGCAAAAAAACAAATCCTAAAAGCGCAATGTTCCTTTGTTTTGTTTTGATTGTTTTTTTTTGTTTCGTTTGTTATCTTTTTTGAGTTTGGCTTTTTCATTTGCTGGTTTGTTTGTTTTGCGGTGTTTTCGCCTTTTTTTTTCGTGTGTTTTCTTTTTTTCCGCTGTTGCTTTTTCATGTGCTTTTTTTTTGGATTTGCTGTTCTGTTCTTATGTTTTTTGTAGTTGCTTTTTTGTTATTTGGCAAAACCATCAGAGTTATGCTAAGTGGTTAACACAAAGACAACGCATTCAAAAGTGCGGAATGAAGGTTCACTTCATTCGCAGCCCCTAACTCCCATCTGCACAGAATCCTCTCCTGCACCAACAGCTCCTTGTTGAGCTTGCTGTACAAGGACTCTTTGTTCAGCTGCCTTTCCAGAGTCTGATCTGGACCAAGGCCAAGGCGACCAAGGTTTTGCACGTACCAGTGCAAAGCACACCAACTGGTACTAGACGGGAGAAAACTGGAGTACTCTGCACGAGAACCTCTTGAGCGATCCCAGAAGTTTGCGGACAACTGCCCGAATCCCTCGGTGTTTGGGTGAACTTGGCCACCATCTTTTGCCCACATCAATGGACTTGTTTGGCTCAACAAAAACCGTTTGACCCCACTCGGAGCACCTCCAGTTTTCAAGATCGGGGCGCAAAGAACCACGCTGGAGAACGCGCAGTTTAGTTGCAAGTTGCAACTGCACGGAGGACTTAGAGAAGGTGAGGGACGTCTCTGCATGTCTCTACTATATACTATATAATCGAACCCTAGCAGGCTTCTAAAGGGCAAACAATTGCAGAAACACTCTCGACAAGATCCGCTACTTGTCCAGTTCCCTCCCGAAAAAAGAAAGGCGACGATCAATCTCTCGATGACTACCCACCAAACTGATGTGCTGGACAAGCAGGTCATGACAACAATGTGGTTGAGCCACAGTACGCTCATGATATTCAACTAGGCTATAGAGCCCAAAACTTACTGCTTCACCAGGGTGGCTGATCTCAGTCTCGCTACGCACTCAAATGATCTCCATGCCGCCGATTGATTGTCTATTAACTATATATATATTCTTTGTAATCCATTTGTGATGGTCCGTAACTTAATCTGAAATCCCAGCTACAGCTCTGGCCAGTGCTGCAAGATCAGCTCCTTTCGTGCCAGAAGGCCCTCCACCAAGACCTGCAACCGTCGGGTCAGTCGCAAAAAGCCTCTGACATGGGATGAAGCTTTTGGGGAATTCACATTTCCCTAGAACCTCGAATGAACATCGATCTTCACCGGACTTGATGTGCACTTTCAGATGTGAAATCACACTGTTTTGAGGAACATCCGAGATGAATCGAATGACTGGGTGGTACCCTCCAGTCGTCCACAGAGGCGTCGTTCGATCGTACCAGGTCGCCGAGCGATTTTTGGGACCGGTCACCAGGTCGTCGCCGAGTCGGGTGCCATGGGCGACGTCCTCTAGCGCTGGTTGTAATGGAAAGTCGAATGATGGATTGATGCAGAACTATCTCTGGTTTGATGCAACTGATCCTCAGCTTCTCAAGTTACAACATGTTACAACTGATCCACCGCTTCTCAAGCTGGGACTACATCTGTCTGTTTCCAGATGCATTGAGGTCGTGGAGATGATGAGGTAACACATGGGAAGACTGAGTTCCTCCAAAAATCATCCACGAGGACATGGAAAAACATTGGAAAATCATGGGAAAACATGGGAAGGCCCAAGATGGTGTTCAACTCTCCACCTCCTTGGCCTCTGCCGCTTCCTCGCCTCTTTCCAAGCCTTCACCACTGCATCGGCTTTGGGCTGCGCAAGCCACTCCCGGTGTGTCCCGGAAAATTCCTTGCTCTGCTTCAGAGGTGTGACCTCTACGAAGTACCTCAGTGTGTGAGATCTTCGATCTGAGGCACTTGTTCTATCAAAACTACATCGACTCTCAGACCAGAGGAAAATGACCAAATGGGAAGTGTCTGGGAGCAAAGGAAGTTATGGGAAGTTTGCAGATTGCGGAAGTTTGGGAAGCCTGGAGGTTGTTTCCTGCACAGTGTGCAGACCAAATACATACATGCCTCCGTCCAACCAGTCATCACTAGAAAGCTGCCAAACAAATGACGATGAAATGCTTGTTCTACAGGTTTGGTTGTTCAACTGTAGAACTTGATTGATGACTGAGGCCAAACGCATTATTTCTGTTACGAAATCAATTATGATTCAAATCTATTCAATTGCATAGTCATTACATAAACCTAGATCTTCAAACTACGCAACATTCATGCATTCTATTGCATCTATTGCATTCTCATCCATAAAACCAGCCAAAAGGCAAACAAAGACATAGTTGGAAGGTCTAGGTATAAGACAAAGATTCAATCAACTCTGGGAGGGAGGATGTCTTCCCAAGAGCCCAAAGACTCCGCTAGTTGATGTCAGTCCAATAGTGTTGCCCCATGGTAAGATGGTTTGAACATAATGGCGTGTAGCGGTATTAAAAGAAATAAACTACTGTAACTTACTGCAACCTACTAGTATCAACCAAAGGCAATTCAGAATAACACAGGGCCCTTCGCACTGACGACCTGACCTTGTTCTCACCTCGTTCTGCTGAGACAGTGCCTCTGACAGGTGACGTTTCGCACTGGTGACTGACTTGCGCTTCTACAACATCCACAATGACATCCACAAACCTGGCGGATCTTGGGAGTGCGTCCACCGAGAAGCTGGACAAAGAGATGCTCGAAGTCCAAAATGGACGCACGGGTTTGGCTGCTCTCCTGCAGCTTGTCCTGGTCTCGGGACTCGTCCCGTTCCACCGGGATCTGGTCGAAGAGAAGAGCCAAGTCGGTGATGATCCACGGGTGACGAACCGGATTGGTGACATGATTGGAATTCTATGTACATGATTGGTGATGAGAAACGCATGGAATGATTCAATTCTATCCAGTATGTGATGAGAAACGCATGGAATGATGAACATAGAATCTTTTGGATCATGTGTTCGCTCCACTTAGGAGCTTTCGGGGCATCCCTTTTTTGGGACTCGTCCAACAAATGACGACTGAACGTCTCGTTGGGCATGTAGGATGTTGACGGGGATGTTGCATGATTCAGCTGGATCTATAGTTTGTGTAATTCAAAACGACCGTGTCAGCAACTTGAGATATGAACGCCCCACAACAGAAACAACACCCCCAAGACCATCTATTCTTTTGGGTCATCAACCATCTGAGTATCATTTGGCTTGGGTGATTGAAATTGACATGATTTGACATGTGTGAACCTCACCCTTTTGCACCTAGTGTCGTGCCAGGTGAAGGCCTATACTTGGACTTTGAGTGAGCCTCACCTACTTCCTCAGTCAGAGCCAAGTAGTAACCGTGAATAAGAAGTCTTGTGTCATACAAAATGAATGCTCTCATTTTCATGTAATCTCACTATATATCTGTCCTTATCACATGTTATTGAACCCGGCCCTGATCTTGCAGTTCGGCCACAAAATGATTCTATTGCCAAAAACAAGTTAATTGAAATAACATCGTTCTTGCTGGAAGGTCGTCCGCTCACCCCCTTCGTGACTCCTCAGCGATGACTTGGCTGGATTCCTTTGGCAGATCTTTGCTGCTTTGATGCTGCAAACCCATCTTCTGGATGTTCCTCACAGCTGCTTGGGAGTGGCAAAACAGTTTCCAACGGCCGACCAAAAATGTTTGGGAAGGATCTGCGCGGTGTGACAGATAACTAGTCGGTCCGAGATAACTAGTAGGTAGATGTCAGTCAAGCGCTTGAACTTCGCCAGTTCACCCCAGTTTTGGAGGGATGGATGGGGAATGGATGGGGGACCGGGACCAACATGGCAACGACCAGGGTTGACGGTCTGAACGACCTGAGACTTTGGTGTCTGACCTGATCACGTGGTGAGCCTGCGCTTAAGGCGCACGCGCGAGAAAGACCCGGCGCGGCCAGATCGACCCGTGGTACTTCGGCGTACCGTGGCGAGCATGGCATGAAAGAGCGGAGACCAAAGGAGTCCCAGTGAGTTCGTGGATGGTCGTGCTCCGATGTCACTGCTTGGTTGACCTCTTCCTTTTTAGCAACTTAGCACCACTGGATACGGCCCCGGGCTGCCAGGATTCTCATCTTCTCGTTCATGGCGCCATCATCGCAGCTTCTTAAACCTCTCTCCCTAAGCACCAAGTGCATGTTCGTCCCACCGACTGTCCCGCCCCCCCCGCGCGGAACTCGTCCCAGGGTCAGCAGTGAGTGGCTGTTCCGGCGGAAGATCAACGGAAGACCCAGCTCGCGCATCGTGGGTCCGCCCAAGGGGGACCCAGGAGGGCTTCCTGCGACGGAAGGTGTGGCACCCAGAGAAATCCCGTTCGGGCTCCAGTCGTACCTCTCAGGTTCGGTATGTCGACTGGACCTGGCACCCTCCCCAGTCCTACCTTCGAAACGAAGGTACGACGGGAGCCCGAACGGGTTTACCCTACACCCATTGCTGCCCAGGGATGCCCGAACGGGAGAGGCGAACGGTCCCAGGGCCAGTGTTGATGAGCGTCGGCTGAGGCCTCCCCGGGGAGTTGATCGACTTGATGTGAAAAAGTGGGCTCAGTTGTTGGGATGTGCTTCTAATCTGAGAGGTCCACACGACTGATGGCATGGTTTGGTGGTTGAATGTGCACAATACATCGAGTTCCTGGGAAACATGATATGACAATGTATATGACATGCAACTGGGTCACACTAGAAAACACTGAGTAGTGGAATGCGGCTGAAGTGAGCAGCCCAAGCCTGGAGCAGCCTATGCCCGGAATTCCAACCCCAACATACACTGTATATACACTCTCTGACTGAAATAATATGAAATAGTGCTGGTTTGTAGAGGAAAATGGTCATCCAAGGAACCATTGTCGACTTCAATTAGTTATGTCAGCATATGTCAGCGAGTGTACGTAGTGCTCCAAGGGCCATTTGCAGGATTTCGATCTTGCCACTGGCTGCTCATCGGCAAGTCAGTCTGCACCGTCTGCACCATGGATGTCATCCGGGATGTTTTGCTGGACCGGAATGAAGGCCCCGGATGTTTTTTTCCTGCTTGTCGGGCTGGTCAGCTCTGCTATAGTAGCCACTGGCCTCGAATGTTCCGTCGCCTCCGGTCGTCTCCGTCGTTGCAAGCTGAGTGGGGAAGATGGTCGCTGAGGGTGGCGAGCCGGCTGCGCCACTTGGCGTGATGGGCGCAGCAATGACGGAGGTGCTGAGTGTTCGGCCATCAGCTTGTCGTGTCAAAGTGTGGCAAATCGAGGTTTTCTGCACTGACAAGGTATGTCAACGTACTTCATTGAACTCACATGAAGTTCCATGACGTGTCCCTGTCTCAAAACAACGACCACCTGGCAAAGTCATCTGAGTGTGAGGTGTGAACATTCACCCCCAAAAAATGAACAGAACTGGTGCAACCTGCGGAAAGAGTACATCAACATTATTTTCCTTTTACGCCTTTGGGATCCTTCTGGTCGTGACTTAGTCGACTGCATTCCATGCGATTCGGGTGAACTCACAAGTCTGGCAGCCGGGCTTCGAGAACCCCGACGGAACTGGAGAAACCCGGCCTGAGCCTTTCGAGTCCCCTCTCAAGGGCAGCTTGTCCTTAGTCTCGCTTCACGCAGCGAAGAAGCTCGATCCCAGAAACGGAGACCCAGACACAACGACCCATGGGACTGGAAGAGTTGCTGATCAGTTGGCCCCTCTGGCACCACCCCAATGTAATTAGGTAAATATGGCAGTCCCATTAGGAGCGTTTGGGAGATGGTCAATTCAAGGGCAATCGGGCAATCGACTCGTCTCTATACGACAGTGTTCCATGCGGACGGCCGGTGTCTGAGACTGAGGCCATGTTCTTGCAGCACAGGCGTTGTGCCGACCGATGTTGATTATAGAGCGGTTGAAAGATGTTGAAAGTATCAAGTCGTGATCTCCACGGTTTGTATAATTATAACACTGTCAGCGAAGGACACATACACCATTAATGGCTGTCAAAGTATGCCTATCAAAAAAGCTCGCAAACCAAAGTAAGGTCAATGGGCCCCAGCCAATAAACAAAATATCATAACAATAAACTATTTGGTTTTAGTATGCAAATGAATCTGACATAATCTGACTATACTTACGCGGAACAAATGCCTGCCATCTGCAAAATCAGTGCAGCTTTTCAAGAGGTGCTGGAGCTTAGATGTTCAAATGGAATAAAAGCTCAATGATAGTGATATAGTCTATGATGGACCACTGGTCATGAAGTGTGGGGACCACTGGCTTTCGCGCCACTTCATGCCCTGTTCTCGTGGAATCTCCCACTGGTTTTCGCGCACTGACAGTGATTGACCACATCATGTCGCTTTGCACATCCAGTTCTGACAGTCGGTCTCTTGGAAAGCCATCCAAATTGACTTCCCCCCCCAAAAGGATCCAGTGGACCTTCTCATAAGGTACGACTAGGGTGGCAAATGGATCCAAATCGACTGACCCCAGAAATGGCTGCACCGATCTGCATAATGGTGACCGCAAGTGAAAACATCCAAAAATATCATACCTAGACCGGACCATCCTGTCTGGGTGTCCTGGCTGGAGATCCCGAAATAGTGTAGGGCAGTCTATTAGTCTATTAGACACCCAGACAGGATGGTCCAGGTATGAAATTTGCACGGCTTCGTCACGCATCTCGTCTTCTGTTGACCATCCGAAAAATCCGAAAACAAAACCGGAGCCAGAAACAGCCGGAAAGCCACCCGAATCGATCGATCTCTGTTCGGAAGATTCGGAAGTCCGGCAGAAAAGACGGAAGCCCAACCTGCTTTTTCCAACGGAAGGCCGAAGACCTTTCTCCCTTGATGAAAGCTTGATGAACGTTCCTGCACTTCAAATCAACTGGAGACTTGTCAACCATGGAAATCCTGAACAACGGTGGTGCCCAAACGAAACTCCACTCCACTCCCAAAGACCGGTCGAACCCATCCTCGGTCCACCCAGCTTCATGCCAATTCCATGCTCGCACCCCACCGATCCAATCCGCCAGGTCTCTCCCAGTCCACGCTTGGAAATCGCCTGGTCCCATGCTTCGGCCGCCTCCAAATCCAAGCTCCGCCGCCGCATCATCCTGCTCTCGACGCACGCGTCCGCGCGGGGAACGCGGAGCGGACGGAGGCGCGGCGGCTCCTGATTGGGAGCGAAGCAAGCTGCTGTCGAGCTGCACATGATTGGGCTTTCAAGGCAAAGACTAAGGGGTGGGTGAGATGGGCAAAGACTAAGGCTCTAAGGCAGGTCTGCAGTCGTTATAAGGACAACCATGGCAGGCACAAGTAACATGATGCCGAAGCACGGCACCGGACCTATTGAGTCTCACCATATCATGATCATACATCTCTCCCAGCCTTCCGTTCTGCCATTTAGCGGCGGGTGTTGTAGTCTAAAGTCCTCAGTAATTAAAACAAGCGTTGAATCATTAAATCATATGAAATCAATGGCGGTTGGAATCCCAAAGTATCCACACTTTCAATTGCTTGAGCTATGCAGTGAGGATCCGATTTGCTGTCAAACACTCAGATCTGCTCGAATGCGGAAAAAACACATGCAACTATTCTTTCACATGGAGACTGCTTCACCATGCAGCTCTGCATAGCTCCGCCTAAGCCTTTAACCACACCCATGCCAAACCGCCCGCTTCGCCCGCGCCGGTGCATGATCCGCGGATGTCGCGCGATTCTGCCTCTTGGGGTTTGGATTTTGCGCCAAGTGATTCAGCTGCGAGGGTGTGGTGGCTACTCGCCTGGTGCGAAAGAGATTCGCAGCGGAAGATGTGAAGATCAGAGCACCACTGGCTCAGAAAGATCGGGCCCCACATGTTCACCACTTTTACTTATAGGTGTTCTGTTCGGAATAGATTTCACCCATTCTGGAGAATGGCAAGCTTGCCTTAGGCTTCTTAGGCCTGGCAGGCTTCCATGGTCCGTCTGTGGTGTCTATGTGGTGTCTGTGGGTCCCCCCTGAGAATCCTTTCTTCAAAAAAAAAGGAGGAAGAAAGGAGGTCAACATTCATGAAGATATCCCCGGCTAAGAAATGGAATGTCCCCAAAAAGGCTTCTAAAAATCCACTCCAAATGGATCTCGTTGCGCTCACGTCCGACTTCACTTCCACCCCACCGCTACCGCCCGACAACCACGTCCTCCGGAGGCGAGCGCTGGAGGTCTCACGGTGAACCACCTTCCTTGGTGAACCCGAAAGGGCCGGTGAACCCGAAAGCACGACTCACATGGAAACCATGACGTTCAAAGAGCATGGGCATTCAGTGGTCCCGAGTGGTCCAACGGAGAACAACGGAGTGGTCCATTGTCGTGACTTTTGAGTGTCCCATGTGGTTGATTCTTCGGTCTTGTCCGACAGCAACTTTGTGAAGTGCTTGGTCTCCTCTTTGGAGACCAAAAACACTTCGGTCTTCACCATGTCTTCACCGTCTTGAGGCCTGAAAACGACCCCAGACACCACGAGCACACCGACCGGCGGGTCCTGGATCGGTCCGGCCAGGTGGACGAGACCAGAGGCCAACACCGGACGACATCGGACGACACTTCTCGAGGTCTGCGACATCATCCACGAAAACCATGAGTTCAATGTGAAATAAACACATGTTAAACCACCTGTTTACCAAAAACAGGTCCTCAAACCATCACGGCGCACTCTAGACTCAAACGATCTGTTCGGCGCCAGGTCAGACCTGGGCCGGATCCATGAAAAACCACGGATCTCTCTCACAGGACGTCACGTCGGCGCTCAGCTCACGTCACACGCGGCACGCAGAATCTCCAGTCTTCCAAGCTTCTGTGGTCCCACATCATCAGGCTCCTCCTCCTCGTCCACAAGGTCGCAAAGGCCGAACTTGGAGCCCATCCTGTTCGCGAACGAAGGTCACTGGTCCACGTCAGCGGCGGTAGGCGGTTGATTGTAAATTTAAACATGAAGTACCATCCAATTTTTGTTGCAGAGGTTTTACCTGGCGGATGTATGAATCAAATTGAATCAACAGTCTAGATTAAGTGCTAAGCACTTCCTAAGTACTACAAGTGTGTTACCGACTATCCTTTGAGGGGAAGGAACCTTCTGCGTTGTGGGGGTTTGGTTGACGCAAAGGAAACAAAGTTGGTACTCCACCTGATCAACGAAACTTGTTGTTTGGGTGCCAAAGAAATAAAGGACAATTGCGCATCTTCTCGATGAAACCACATGAAATTCAATAGGATGGCAACTCGAAACGCACATAATTCCATTCAACAGTCATTCCATCTCATGTGTTGTCCATACAGAAAACCGAGGCATGCCTAGTGCTGGATGAACATCCATCTCAAATCACGGGTCTGTCGAATCACGCTGGACCGCTGGAGGGGACAAATCGACGTGGATGATGTTGTCTCCTGTGGAGGGGGAGAGGGGAGAGAGAGAGAGAGAGCGCAACGTTACCTGTGCACCAATAAACTCTAACCAGCTCGGGTTTGAATGCAATTGTGGAGATGTGTGGCGTAGTTACAAAGAATCGAATCGTACTATTGCACAAATATAAGCATCGGATAGCATCAGCTGATGCCACGTTGACAACTGAGAATCGATCACGTGGGCCTGGCAAAATCTGACATCGTCCCTGAAGAAAGACATAAGTAGCCCCTGAATGGAAACACAACAAACAAACCAAATCCCAATCTGTCCCTCTGGTCCCGACCCGAATGCCCCCCAAAGTTCTCAAAATCCAACAAACCGGATCAAACCGAAGAATACAAGGGAATCCAACTTCAACTTCCTCCACATTGAGTTCCTCTCCTTTGAATCACCCAGATCCAGCCCGGTGCGGTGCCTGTTGATCGCGGTATTTACCTTGACCGGAGAGCTACCCGCGCGGAATGGTGGAACTCGTGTTGGTCTTGTTCTTGTTTGGAACGCCGGAAACAGGGATTGAGAGAAAAAGAAATGATCCCGCGACAGGGCGAGGCCGCCCCTGCCGGCACATTGCTCCCTAGCTGACACACGGTGGTCCACACTCTTATATCTTCTTATGTATTGAGAGTTCATTAGATCGAATGTATATAAGTTCTTTGTCTATCCTTTGATGATGAGCTCTTTGTCTATCCTTCGATGATGAGCCTGTGTCTATCCTTCGACGATATACATGTATATATTATACATCTTACCCCCCTTTTCATGATCCCGGATCCGATCTCAACGAACTGGGCACCGCTTGAACGAACTGCGTGGAGGAATGTCGCTCCAGGACCGGCAGCTTGCGGCACACCATCTGGAGGCCCTCACTCTCCACCGGCTCCTCCTGCCGTTCCGCTGCAAACACCTCCTCAGAAGGTATGACATACCACGCTTCTAAACCCGGCCGAAACGAAGGTACGGCCACATATCCGGAAGTCTGAGTTTTTAGAACACACCCATTACTGTATCACTGATCGCCAATTAGTTGGTTCAAAAACTTCACGAGGGCTTTGTATTTAAGGAACCCACCCACCCACGCACTCATCCACTCACTCACTCACTCACTCACTCACTCACTCACTCACTCACTCAC